CAGGCCACGCGGACGCTTCTTGGGCTGACGACCAGGCTACGCAGCGGTCGTCACAGGGTTACACCTTCAGCCTTGGTTCCGGCTCTGTCTCGTGGCGGGCTACTCGCTCGTCTTCGGTTCTCAGCTCCAGTTGTGAGGCTGAGATCTACGCCGGGGCCATGGCTGCACAGGAGCTTCGCTGGCTCACCTACCTGCTGACTGACCTTGGAGAGCCGCCTCGTTCTCCTCCAGTGTTGTACGTAGACAACAAGGCCATGCTGGCCTTGTGTCGAGAGCAGCGCTTGGAGCACAAAACGAAGCACATTGCTCTCCGCTACTTCCTTGCTCGTGAGCTGCAGCAGCGTGGTCAGTTGCGACTTGCGTACGTGGCCTCTGAGGCCAACACTGCTGATGTGTTCACCAAGGCACTCGCGCCTTGTGACCATCAGCGTTTCTGCACCCAGCTGGGTCTTGTGCCTGTCTTGCCTCACTTGCTCTCCTCTTGACTTTACTTGTACTGTGACATATATATACCTGCTCTTGCTTGTCTAGCTTTATATATATGTCTGTACTCTTGCATGTGAACTGGCCTTTGGCCTTGCTCTTGTGCTCGGACTGTGTGGTGACTTTGTGATCCACCCTGGGCTTTGCTTTGTCTTGCTTGACTGGTCTTGTGACCCCTTGTTCTCCCCCACTTTGCCTATGGGGGTGTGTCACAATATATCTATAGCTTATACTGTTGTGTAGGCTGTAGTGGGGTATCCCATAGGGGGTACAACACAGTTAGGGTTTCATATTTGTACTGCCTTCATTCATAGTTCATTCATTCCTGTTCTACAACTTTCACAACGGTGACGTGCTCGGCCGGATAAAACCCTTGGAAAGCAGATAGTCCACCTGTTTCTGCAACTCGTCGAGCTCCGGTTGGCTGAGCCGCCATTGTGACCGGATGGTTGGTTTCGCGCCTGGCTCCAGCTCGATCTTGTGGTCTTCCGGACGCTGAGGTGGCAATCCATCAGGCAGGTCATCCGCGAAAATTTCGGGATACCTCCGAATTATGGTCGCCACGTCGTCGGGTACAGCAGCGCAGAGCGTGTCGATGTCGGCGATTTTTTCGGAAGTCACCACCTCGTACAGCTGTTCTGCGTAGCCTTGCGCTCCCCGTTTTATCGCCCTCTTCAACGTTATCGCGTTGACACGTGTTGTCGTCGGCTCCGGCTCCGCCCATTTTGGAAGTGTCACGCGCCCCTTGTTGCACAGCACCGTGATTGCCCCCGTCGTCCAATCGATGGTCGGATTGAAACGCTGCAGCCAATCCGTTCCGAGCAGCACATCGCAACCGTCCAGTGTTGTCGCCAGCATTCGCATGGAGAACCCGAAATCGTTGCCGCACTTCATCCGAATTTGTCGGACCTCGTCCTTGATCGCCAGCGGTGTTCCGTCCACCAATCGCGCATCAATCTCTGGTAGACACCTGTCCAGCCTAACTCCAATTTTTTTGGCCGTTGCCAGGTTGACGAGACTGTGGCTCGCCCCCCCGTCAACGAATAGTTTTATATTATGCCCGTTAACCCTCCCTACTACCAGCACAGGGTGATCCACGTGTTCATCCACCTTATTCGTCCGGTTGCGGTCGATAGCCCGTATCAGTACCACCACTCGGTGTGGATGTTGATTGCCGGGCGACAGGGTCGCGTCAATAGGTGGCCCGATTGCTACTGACTCGTCTCTTTTCCCAACCCCTCTCCGTCGTTCCTGTTTCCCTATTTCAGCTTCGGGTAGTCCTTCCTCCAGTGGCCCGGTTGGTTGCAATTGAAGTGTCAAAGTTAGAAGAAAGAAAGAGGATTGAACTAGCAAGAATGAGGATACAAATAGCAAACCCTAGAAGGGTTGTACTCGCTATAGAGCACCCCACTACAGGCTAGAACAATAAGATAATATTCTGACACACCCCCATAGCCAAAGTGGGGTGTAATCAGCAGTGCAGGCAAAGCAAAACAAGCTCAGGGTGGATCACAATGTCACCACACATTCTGAGCACAAGTTCAAGAAGAAATAGTTCATAGTTCACAATTATAAGCAAAACTAGTGGTGGTCACAACGGGCAAGTGAGGAGGAGGAGTGAGAGCGAGAGGAGTTGGGAGGCGACAGCTGAAGCTGCAGACACACGGGCAACAGGAGGCACACTGGCACAGCGGCTACCGGGCGACGCCCCCGGACTACTGGAGTAACTGGCCCCGCGGCTAAAGTAGCGGCAGACGAGCAACGGACCCACGGGCAGCTGGCACAGCTGGCTACGACTGGGCTACCGGGCGAAGCCCCCGGAATACAGGTGTTGCTGACGACAAACTGGCAACCTCCACTCATCCTCCCGCACACAGTCCCACCCCCTCATACACACCCACTGCTACACCACTAGCTCTACTCCCACACACCCCCCTTGCACCACTCCTTCGTCTCCCACACACCCACCCCCCTCAGCGGTAGCTGCAGCAGCGGGAGACGGAGGAGGAGGAGGAGCAGGGGACTGCGCACACCCGCCACCCCCATACCCGTCACCCCCATACCCTGAGTGTGCAGTAAGCGAGCTCAGGTGTGCGCGAAGCATGCACAAGCGTGCGGGAAGCAAAATCGGGTGTGCGGTAAGCAAACGCAGGTGTGCGGGGAGGGGGGCCGCAGGGCGACACGCGGGTCGACGGGGATGGGCACACCAGTCGCCGGAGGCGGCGCGCGGGTCGACGGGGCCGCCACGAAGGGCGACCGGGAGCCGCACGCGGGTTGACGGGGCCGCCGCGAAGGGCGACGAGGAGCCGCACGCAGGTCGACGGGGACGGGCGTGCGGGTCGACGGAACGCGAAACCGCCGCGTGCGCCCAGGGTGCGCGGTGGGCAGAAAACCGCCACGCGTCCAGAGCGCATGGCGTGCAGAATACCGCCGCGCGAAGCAGGAAACCGCCGCGCGCCTCGGGGCGCACGGTGGGCAGAAAAACCGCCGCACGCCCCGAGCGCGCGGTGGGCAGAAAACTGCCATGCGCCCCGAGCACGTGGCGGGAAGAAAATAAACGTCGCACGCCACGGGGCGCGCGACAGACAGGATAGCAGCGGAAGCAGGTGGGCCCACAGGCCAGGAGCGTACTAGCTCTGATAGCATGTCAAAGTTAGAAGAAAGAAAGAGGATTGAACTAGCAAGAATGAGGATACAAATAGCAAACCCTAGAAGGGTTGTACTCGCTATAGAGCACCCCACTACAGGCTAGAACAATAAGATAATATTCTGACATGAAGCACGTGCTAGGTCCTCGCCTCGGTGCATCCACCCCGTTGATCGTGGGCTGGCGCGGCGGTCCACGAAATTGAGTGCCCTCCCGGGAACTCATTCTCGCCCATTGCATCAACGCATCCGTTGATTCAGCCACTTGGACGGCCTCGAGAAAAACACGTGGCCTCGCCCGTCGCACCTCGTACTGTATTTCGTACTTGAGGCCTGCGACATAGCGGTCGAGTCGCTCCGCGTCACTCATGTCGTCCACTTGGTCAGCTAAATTGCAGAATGTCCCGTGTAATCTTGGACCGACGCCACCTGCTTCCAGGTACGCAGCTTCATGCGGGCAGAATTCGAGGCGGATACATGCTCGAATCTGCTTCGCAGCGCGGCGCCCCACTCCGTCCATGTGCGTATCGTGGCCACTCCGAAGATTGAAGTTGCCTGTTGCGTGACAGCTGCCCAGGTCCCGTCGTTCGCACGTGATATCCCTGCCGGAGCCCCCTCTGGTTGAAGAGTCCGCTTCCACCACTCCAACGCCGGTCCTCGCAATAGTGATACTGCGAAATTAATGCGGGTGGCATCGTCAGCAATTTGCGCAGCATTGAAAAATACCTCCACACCGAACAACCAAGCCGACACAGTGACGGTTTTGTCGCTGGGGTTGAACGGGGGCGGGTTCGTCGGTTTTATCTTAACAGTTGTCGAGACTGTTGCTGCTGCATGCACCGAGGGCGCCATTGAAGCCATCACCGGGGTTGTCGCTGTTGCCTGTCGTGGCGTCGTCTGCAACTGTTGCCTCGGCTGTGACTGTTGCTCCTGCGTCCCTTGTGCTCGTTGCATCCGTGCCATCCCCTCGTCTTCAGCGTCCAGCGAGTTCTGTAACTCGCTGAGGACCTCGTCGTTAGGTGCGAAACTGCTACTCGCTTCATCCACGGCGGGCGACTCCTGACGCGCTTCACATCGCGTCTGGCGTAGTTCGGCGTTTTCCGCCCTCAGGCGCTCCAACTCGCCAGACATAGTCTGCATGTTGGCCTGCATCGCCCGGAATTGCTACATGAACTCGTTGAACTCCGCCTGGTCCATCTGTCGCAGGCTTCGTCTAACGGGCAGGGGGTTAACAGCGATTTTTATGGTTTTGATGAAGGCGCAAACGCTATTAGTCGGAGCGAGATAATCGTGTCTATCTCTCAGTCGACCGCTTTGCAGCCCACCAAACCTATCGCACCCCGGTACTAAACTACCCCGGAAACTGGAGGGTAACCTAGGAAAGTAGCTCTGATACCAGGTGTTATGAGTTGTATGAAAGAAGAGTGCGCAGAATATAATATCGCGGAAGTGATTACAACTACTGAGCAAACAACGGGGCCTAGGCATAATATAGCATAGCTAGCTAAGCCGGGGTCGCGGAGTCATGTGAGGGTTGGGTGTAGGTTTGGGTTTAAAAAACCCGAAGGCGACGCGGAAGACGTTCGGAAGGCGAGGTCGACGGACCGAGCCTGAATTCCGAAAATTGGGGTTGTACGCGTAAGAGGTGCCTCAGTAAGGAATTGGCGAAGATTCCTTACACTAATAATATAAACTTTTACAAATTTCAAAGACCACACGCGCCCTTAGAGGCTGACATCATTCCTTCGCAGTCTGTTGCAGTCCGTTACATTTGGTCGCATTCCGTCATATTCTCTTGCCTGCCTTTGGATTTTCATCGCATTCTCGTCGCAGGCCCCGTGGGGCTTCTCGTCGCGCGTCGTTCAACTCCCATGCACACCACGGCCGCCATCAGTCCGTCCCTGCGTGGTCTCCCTCGACTACGCTATGGCTCCGCGCGATTCCCGTCAATCCGCCTTGCTGCTCCGTCCCACGTACCACCTCGTACCCAGTGCCACTTGCAATCCTCGTCGTTAACGACACGTGTCGCTCCCGCCGTGCGCAGCGGGGAGCTCAAGGAACGGGACGCGTTGCGCGAATGGCGCGTGAGTGCCGGCGGCGTGGCTGCCTTGCGGTCGCTCTCTCCTTGTACCCTGATTCATGCTGCTTCTCTGGCGCGTGTGCTTGTAAAGGGAGGCTGGAGAACGCACGCGGTGAGGGAGCCGGCAGTCGCGGGGGAGAGAAGGGGAGAGAGCGGCGAAGGCGAGGAGGAGGAGGAGGAGGAGACAGAGCATAGGGAGTTACGCGGAGATCCGGATAGGCTGGCGGCGGGCGGCGAAGGGGATGGCGCGGCTGGGGGAAGGGCGGATGCGGAGGATGGGGGAGAGACGTTGGAGGATGTGGTGGGGGATATGCTGCCACGATGGCTGCTGGACAGGTGCGATGATGGATGGCTTGGCGCGGAATGGTATCACGTGGCATAGTGTGGCAAATTCATGGTGTGGTCTGGTATGGTATGGTGTGGTATGGTGTGAGTGGTGTGGTGTGGTGTGGTGTGGTATGGTGTGGTAGTGGTATGATGTGGTGTGGTGTGGTGTGGTATGGTATGGTATGGTATGGTACGGTACGGTATGGTATGGTATGGACGATCGGGCCACGGAATGCAGCCAGAAAGAAACCTAGCCCTTCTCCATCTGCCCCTGCTACGATCTCCCACAGAGACGCCTCCAAACTCAGTCTCCCTGATTTCATCTCCCTCCCTTCACACTCACACCTCCTCCTCGTTCGCATCTTTCCCTTCCTCCGCGCCCTGTCGTGGTGTGATGGACCGTGGGTGCATGCAGGGCGTGCGAGTTAGGGTTCGAGCGCCCCACGGAGACCCAAAGGCACGCCCTGCCAGTGCTTCTCAGCGGCCAGGACGCCATCCTTCACGCACAGGTGCTTATAACGAGGCTTTCCTTCCGTTGGGCTCAACGTGTGGGTGGGAGGGATGTGCGCCTGTCCTTGCTTTATTGTGTCTGCGGGGAGACACAGGCACAGGCAGAGGCACAGCTCCTCCTGTCCACTGTACTTCTCGTCCTTCACACTCACGGCTCAATCCTTGTTACTGTCTAATTCCTCAGAATATTTGCCTTTCCTCTTCCTCTGCTGCACATCTCCCTTTTGTTCTCTCTCTCCCTCCTCTCCCTCTCCCTTCTCCGACCCCTCCCTGCCTCCTCCTCCCTCCCTCGCGCGCCCTGCGATGTGCACCAGACGGGATCGGGCAAGACGGTGGCGTTTCTGCTGCCGCTGCTAGCAAGCATCGACCCCTCACGCAGGGCGCTGCAGGCCATGGTGCTGCTGCCCACGCGCGAGCTCGCCATGCAGGTGCCATGTGCCATGCCATGCAGGTGCCATGCCATGCAGGTGCCATGCCATGCAGGTGCCATGCCATGCAGGTGTCATGCCATGCAGGTGTCATGCCATGCAGGTGTCATGCCATGCAGGTGTCATGCCATGCAGGTGTCATGCCATGCAGGTGTCATGCCATGCAGGTGTCATGCCATGCAGGTGTCATGCCATGCAGGTGTCATGCCATGCAGGTGCCATGCCATGCAGGTGCCATGCCATGCAGGTGTCATGCCATGCAGGTGTGATGTGCACGCGGCAGTGAGGGGAAGGGTTTCGGAGGCGCCTGAACGGGTGTTGCAGTAGCTCGTAGTGCTGGTGTTGACGCACACATGGGCTGCTGCTGGTTTGGCGGGTGGGTGGGTGCGTGCAGATGGCAGCAGTGGTTCGGGTTGAGGGTTGGAGAGAAATAACTTCTGCATGCCTGGGGAATGGTTGAAGTTTCTAGCAATCGGTTGAGTGCGCATTTTCCTTTCCCTCCCACTCCCTCCCCATGTTCCTCTCACTCCGCATCTTCTCCCCCCCGCTTCCTTCTCACTCATTACCTGCCTGCTATTCCCCCGTTCTTCCCTCTACACTTGTCTTATCTCAGGTGGGGCGGCTGGCGCGCAGGCTGGGGGTGGTGAAGGGGCGAATGGGGGAGGAGGCGGAGGGGAGTGAGGACGAAGAGGAGGAGGGTGTGGATGGGGGTAGTGGTGAGGGAGTTATGGAGGGAAGGGGAGAGGAGGGGCAGCAGGAGCGGAGAGGGAAGAAGGGGCGGATGGGCAGGCAAGAGGGGAAGGGAAAGGGTGCTGAATGGAAAGGGGCGAGTGGGAGGGGAGGAGGCAAGGGGGGCCGAGAGAGGGTGGGTGTGATGGTTGTGGGCGGGGATGGGGAGTCCAACAAGCCAACGAGGAGACAAAGTGTCTGGCTCAAGGTAGACTGGTTGTTCACATGCTTGCATGCTGGCATCCCAGGGTCCTGCATTACATCTCCTCAAATGGAACTCTCTTCCCCTCCTTTCCCATGCATCCTCCCTCGTCATCTCCTTCCGCCCCCCTTCTCTCTCCTTCTCGTATTCCACCCCCCTCATTCAGCCCCTCTCTCCCTCCACTCCGCCCGGTCCCTCCCCCCTCTTCTCCCCTCAAGGCGGAGCCCCCCCACGTGCTGGTGGGCACACCGGACGCCATTCTGGCGTTGCACCGCCGCCACCCCCTCGCCCTGCACTCCCTGCGCTTCCTCGTCATCGACGAGGTGAGGAAGGGGGAAGGGGAGGGGGGGGGGAGTGGGGGGGAAGAGGACGGGGGGAGAGGAGAAGGGGGGAAAAGGTGATGGATTCAGGGGTTGGCGAGGGAGCTGGAGTGGGGCTGAGATGAGCAGTAGATGGGATGGGGTGTACGGCCGTTTTTTGGGGTTTCCCAAACCAAACCTTGCAGTGTGTGTGGGTGCATGGGCGTGGGTGGGTGTGGTGGGTGTGGTTTTGGTCATGGTGCGTCTGCTCCACTGTCAGTTGCAACGTTTCCACCCCCCTCTCATGATTATCCCCGCACAAGGCAGAGATAAGGGCAGCACAGGCCGCCCCGCGCTAACTAGTGCGGGTGGCCGCTGCTATTTTGCCTCTCAGTCTACCTTACCTACCTCTCCTTCTTTCTCTCCTTTCCTCTCCTCCCTCTTGCCTCTCCTCCCCTCACTCTTTCCCCTCTTTCCCCTCTTTCCCCTCTTTTCCCTCGCCCTTCGCCCCTCGCCAGGTGGATGCAGTGTCGGTGTCGTCCAAGCTCTCCGGATCCCAGTCCCTCCATAAGCTCATCTCGCTCTGCCCGCCGCCCCGCCAACACACACTCACAGGGCAAGCAGCAGCTGGTGGTGGCGAGAGGAAGGGGGAGCGGAAGGGCAGTGGAGGGGAGAGACAGACAGTGCTGGCCACGGCTACGGTGCCTCAGGCAAAGAGATTCATACGCGATGTGATTCACTGCAAATGGGTCAACGTGAGTCAAATCGGGGTCAATGTGAGTCAATGGGGGTCATTGGAAGTCAAAGAATGTTGAATCAGGGTTGATAGTGGGTGCGAGGGTTCAGGGCAAACAGATGACAACAAAACATTTCTGTCCTTTCCCTGTCCCACTTTTTTTTTCTCTCTGGTGGCTTCATGGTTATAACGTGTCAACGTGAGCATGTATCAGTGCACTCACCAGTATTCTGTTGCTTGCACAGGCACAGATTACTCACATCACCCATGCATCACTCAACGCCTGCTTGCCTATGTGTGCCCCTCGCCCCTCACTCCTCACCCCTCGCTGCTACGAGCATGGCAGGAGGCGGTGGTGTATCTGCACGTGCACTCCACCATGCCAGCAGGTCTCATTCATCGATACGCTGTGAGTGCTCTCATCTCATCTCTTGCCCCACCGACATCCACCTCCTTGTCAATCCTTGCATTCGTTGGCTGACTTATCTGCCTACCCTATTTGCTAAGCTGCTGATCTCTCTGTTGTTTTTTCCCCTTTATCCATCAATATCTGCCTGCATACTTCAGACGTGCTCCTCCCCTTCCAAGAAGCTTCCTCTGCTGTTGGATCTGCTACAGGCGGACCGTCCTACTGCTGCAATGGTGTTTGTCAGGCAAATGGTGAGCCACGGCGTGCCATGCTGTGCTTTGTTGTGCTATGCCATGCCGTGCCATGTTATGCTATGCCAGGCCGTGACATGCCATTACGTGCCATGACATGTTATGCTATAATCATGCCATGGCGCATTTTCTCCTGCAAGCGCGCATGCCACCAATCGACCGCTAATACCCTAGCCTCTTCTCATTGTCCTTCTCCTCAACCCCCCCCCCCCCCCACCCCCCCCCTCCCACACCCCATTACCCCTTCCTCCCCGCTCCCTGGGCGCTCAGAGTGACAAGGAGCGCAGTGCAGGGAAGGAGGGTCTGTGTCGTGTCGTTGCATCCTTCCTCTCCTCTCACCTCACTGCCAGTGTCAACCAGCCTTTCACCTATGGCGCTGCAGTTGGAGATGGCACTAAGGTGGAGGGGGACAGCAGAGAGGAGGTTACCAAGGCAGGTCATGACACAAAGGCTGCGAGTGCTCAAGGGCATGGCAGCAGTGGGGTAGGGCCTCTGGTGTGGTGTTTGGAGGCAGAGGGCAATGTGCATGCTCGCACCAATGCTCTAGAGGTGAGACTTGGGGGCGACTCTTGGATCATGGGGTTGTGAATACGGTAGAAACACATACGGTTTTTAATTTTCTTTTCGCTTAATCCAGTTGCCGGCGAATGCCGAGTACGAATTGTGCAGATTCGAAGTCTCAACAGTGTGTTCTTCTCCGCTGCCTGCTCTCCGCTACCATCACTCGCTTTGATGACCATGCAGGAGTTCCGGTCATCGTCAGCTCCTCATCGCATCATGGTAACCACCGACTTTGCATCGCGGGGCCTTGATATTCCCGCTGTCTCGCACGTGTACAGCGTTGACTTGCCTGGGGACACTGTGGTTTACACGCACCGTGCTGGCCGCACAGGAAGGGACCCGTTTGGGGGCCAAGGAGGGGTTGTCACATCGCTCGTAGGGAAGTCGGAAGCGTTTGTTGTGGAACGGATTGCCAATGAGCTCAACCTTTGCTTTGATGTGGTCTGTGATTCTTGAGAGGGTATGGAGGTGGTTCTGTCCGAGAAAGTGCTCAAGATTATGCTTCCACTGGGATTTTTCCATACAATGTCCAGAGGCCTCTGTACAGGTGACAGGGCGTAGAGGCAAGTTGTTGTTGCACTGGAGACACAGAGCATGTGTTTTGGGTGCCTCTACAGGGCCCTGCCTACCCTCTTGCCCAAGTCTACTTGCATTGCAACCCAGATCTGTACAGTCCTCCTTTATCGGGGCTAAGTTGGCTTGGATGCAATTACGGGGTCCTTGTGCCTTGACTCCCCCCTATATGGTTAATCCATTTGGGGAAATGCTTTTACAGAATTTTAACTTCATTTTGGGAAAATGTTTTGGGAACTGCTCTCTTTTCCACTCCCATACCTAGCTCCACAATGTAGATGTACCCTGGACGAGTGAGGGTAGTGCGAGGACCCTGTACTGTATTGGGAATCTGTCCCCGTTCAGTCGCTTTGTTTGTGCCGACAGTCACAAAGATCAGGGTTGACTGTGACGCGTACCGCACCGGCCTACGAGTGAGGGTGCTGTACGCAGGCTGTGGGTTATAAAACGACAAGTATGTACAGAAAAGCAGTTACACTTTTCAATGCGTACAAGCAGTTTGACCCTCACCGCAAGGGGCGTGCTTGCCATACTACCAAAGCCTCCCCTTTCGTTCTTAGGCACCCTGCTAGTAGAGTTTAGGGGAGCTAGTTTTCCCAATTTAGAAGTGTACAATATCCATCTGGGCAAGGGTTTGCTGTGCACGGCTGATTCCCACCACACTTGTGCTCTATGAATATCCGGCTACCTAACTAAGTGCAGGAATTGAACAATGTCAGTGTGAAGCGATCGGCAAAGACCATTCGAGTTGGAGTTTCTTCCCGAAAGCAACGTGGGCAGGGTGCTTCGTGGGTCTTGAGTCGCTCCAGATTGTGAAACATGACATAGCCCCATACAAACTCATGGAAAAAACGTGTTACCCGTTTGAACTAAAGTTACAGTAGTACGTAGCCGTACTTGCAAGGTACAGTAATGTGGTTAGAGCAATTTTCAAAGGTGTGGGCAGGGAAGTCCACAAACCCCCCACGAAACTGTAGCATCAAGCAGTTTCCGGAAACATCAGCAAAGGAAGCAGCGGCGCAAGACACCAACAATGCCGACTTCGGTCTGTCACCAGATCTTCCAGGCTACCGTATGAACACTAGACACTTGCCCGAGATTGAAGAAGGGGCCAGCATCCCAATTAAGCGCTATTAAGGGGTCGCACTCGCTATATGCTGGTGTGGAAAAAACCACACAGCTGCTTTATCACTGCGTGGAGCAGAGGATGATTCAGTATGTCCTTGTTCGACAGAAATGTATCGACCACATGTACAGCTGCACTCAAGAATGCAGAAGGACCACACATTGCAGGTGTGAAAAATCAAGTGCGGGTTTTAGCAACCCCTCCCCCCCCACACCTCCAGCGACACCCTGGTTCGCAGAAGATTAACTCGTGGAAGTTGAACACAGGAGACACAACCCGGCCCAGCGTGTATTTCCCCCACACAATCCAGCAATTTTGGAGGCCCGTGATCAGGGGAATGCTGCACCAGTTGATAGCTGCTGCTGACACAAATGTACATTGCGCAGACGCGACGCGACGACGACCCACTCACGTGAGGGGTGGGCTACCTACACCACGCTGTACACCACGCTACACCAGTGCACCACGAACCTAGGCTCCACCATTCACAAGGAAAAGAGTTGCAAGGAATTTCCGCGCGCCAATTTTTTTGCGCCTCCCTCAACAGGTCGTCCAATGCTGCTGCAAATGGCGATGCACACCCACCCAGCTTCTTGCGCAGATTTGCCCAACCCAACCCAACCTCATTTCTGGAATGTCGTACACCGACATCAATTTGCATGGGTCGCCTCTTGCTGGCTTGTTTGTCATGTATTTTTGGTCCCCGCGAGGTTCATCCGTTGCTTTCGTCCTTTCCCAGACAGATGCAAACGGTCTCTCGTTCTTGTGCTAGTAGCCTAGCATTGACTCACATGAGGTTTCTGGGAGTCCTCGTTTTCCGTCGAGAGTTCTTCACATTTCGCGATTTAGTTCCTACTCTCCACCTCACATAGCCACCACCATGATACCGCAAACCGCACTATCAGACATGCGATCTCAAATTTGGCAATCCCGCTGTCTCGCCCCTCGTCACCATAAACTGCGCATATCAATGTCTCCTGTGTTACCAGCGCTCATGCTACTATCAGCGCTGCTGATGTGCCATTTGGAACTGTCTTCGGGCCTACTCTTCGATTTTTTCCGACGTGAGCTCTTTCCCTCCTTCGCACACTCTCATTCTTCCTGCGTGTCAACTCTTTCCCCACTCTGATCATCACCCTCAGACATCTCCACATCCCCCGTTTTCTCGTCTGCTCGCCTCGTCTGCCATGCCTTTAGGCAAAAAGCCCAAGAAGCAGCACCCACCTCCGTACAAGTTCGGCGCAAATGCCGCAACGGCTCCCCTCGCTCCGCCGCATCTCAACGACCGCCGATTCCGCTTCGCGTCGATAGGCTTCAGCCTGGCGCTATCGCTGTGGCAGCTTCCAGCGAGCAAGGACTGGTCGCAGGACTCGAGCGTCGCGTCGCTGCGCGGTGTCGTGGACCAGGGCAACTGTGGTGAGCGCGCGCGCACATCCCGTTCCGCGAGCGCTGATGCTCTTGCGCACAAGCGCCAACATTTTGCGCCGCTGCCTGCCAACCCTTGCGGGCTGCCACGAAGAAACAATATCTCCCTGTTCCACCCCCCCGTTCCCCTACCGCCCATCCGCGCACCCTTCCGCAATCCCCGCAGCATCCTCCTGGGCCGTCGCGTCCGCGCAGGCCGTGGAGATGGCGTACGCGATACAGAACCCGTCGAGCAGCAGCATAGCTAACGTGTCGGTGCAGCAGGTTGTGGACTGCGCGGGCGTGGCGACCTCGTGCTCCGCGGGCGGGTGGCCGTCGCTTGCGCTGGACTATATGGCGGGCGCGACGGACGACAACGGCGGGGTGGTGGCGGACGACGATTACCAGTACACGGCCGCGCAGGGCACGTGCGACAACAGCAAGGTGAGCGAAAGCGGGCGACGCCGGTCGCATGCGGCGCGTGGCTAGGGGAGGGCGGACGAGGCGGTGGGAGGCGTAGGAGTGAAACTTAAGGGACGTAGGCGGCACGCGGCCTTCCTCTCCCCCGTTGTTCTACGCGACGTAGTTGGCGTAACCCTCACTTCCCCACCCCCGTCTCCCCCGCGCGACCGCGGCGCGAGCAGGTGACGGGCGACGCGTCGAGCATCGGCGTGGTGGCGTTGGAGCAAGCGGACTTCCAGGGGTGGCTGGGGCTCGTGCTCGCCGTGCAGGCGCAACCCGTCGTTGCCTTCGTGCACGCCTCGCACGATTCCTTTCTCCTCTACAAATCGGTACTGCGCGCCTCTATCATCCCGCACCGCGCTGCTGCCGCCGCCGTTATAGCCACTTCCCGCTCATTTCGCTGCCCGCTGTCGTCTCCCACCTGCCATCATCCGCGCCCGCTGCCCTCTCAATTCGCGCCGCGAATTGCCTCTTCCGCCAACTCGGCAGTTTCCGCCTCTGCCCGCTCCCCTCCTGATCCGCGCGTCTCCGCATTCCCTTCCCCCTCTTCCCCCACCGCGCGCGCGCGTGCGTGCGCGGCAGGGCGTGTACGAGGACAAGGCGTGCGCGAGCGAGATCGTGGACCACAGCGTGCTGGTGGTGGGGTTCTCGCTCAAGCTCCCGCAGCCGTACCTCATCATCCGCAACTCCTGGGGCACCCACTGGGGCATGCAGGTGCGGGCACCGCCGCGCGGATAGGGGAGGGAGGAAGGGGGTATTCCGATGGGATGAAAGCTAGCAGGCGGAGCGGGGAGGCAGGCTGCTGCCGTGCCTGTATGCATCATGCGCGCGGCTTGGTCTTTAACTCCGCCGTCCTGCGCCACCTCTTGCTGCTTCGCCTCTTCCCCTGCCGCCGTGCCCTGCACTCTCTCTGCGCCGCCACTGTGCTTTACCGCTTGGTTTTTGTCTGCGCGCATCTCAACCGCTGCTTCCCCGCATTCCCCGCGCCCCCGCCCCTCCCCATGCGAATCCGCGCTGGCAGGGCTACATGCGGCTGGCCATTGCGGGCGGGCCGGGCATCTGCAACATCAACACAGTGCCGCCCGTTTACCCCGTCCTCAAGAGTAGGCTTCTCTTTCTCTCTGATGCCATAGAAATTGACACCATCGAATGCTGAATCGCTTTTTGGGAGTTCTCATCTCAACAGCATGTGCTTCTGATGGGCAGTGAGCAGAAGTACATTAGCGCTGCCCTATGCCCCATACCGCCGCCCACGCTCATCCTCCTCTCAATGCGTCCACCACCCCCTACATACTTCCCTGCCCGTATCTTCTCCCGTCTACCATCTCATATCCCCTCTCTCCACCCCCCTTCACCCCCCGCTATCGATCGCTCGCTCGCCCGTGCAGCATCCAGCCCGTGCAGCGGAGCCATCAACCCGTGTGGGTCAGGGACGTGCAATGCGGGGTCAGGGGCGGCGTACACGTGCACGTGCCCCAACAACTTTGTGTCCGTGCCCGGTTTCAACAGCCTCCCCTCATGCGTGCCCAGTAAGCCTCCCCTTGCCACCGCTGCCTCTGCCACACACACCCCGCACACTGCACACGCTGCATACAACGCACGCCACGCACTCCTGTCTCCATGAGCCTCCTTCTCCTGCTCACCCTACTTGCTCGTCTCTGCAATCGCTGCTTGCCGGACTTATGCCGCCCGTGTCCACCTGTCCGGCTGCTTCTGTAAATCGCACCAACTCACCTCCGTGTATCACTTGCTGTTCTCCTCCCCGTTCTTTCCCTCCTGCATCGCCGGGCAGAGAAGCAGTGCACACTGGGGCCGTTCAACCCGTGTGGCACGGGCACGTGCATAGACGACAACGCAGGCAGCTACTTCTGCATCTGCCCGCCGCTCTTCGTCTCCGGTGACAAAGCCAATGGCAACCCCACCTGCGTGCCTGGTGCGTCCTCCCCTCCCCCACACCCCTCTCCCGCCGCCCTTTCCTCTCGCTCCCTGCCCCATCGAAAGCCCATTATCCCAAACGCCTCTCTTGTACTCCACTGGTCTTAATCCCTCCGTTCAACCCCTACCACTCCCCCCTCACTCCCCTCCCGCCGCCTCCACACCCCACGTGTCCTGTGCACGCGTGTGCTGCAGACCCGAGCCCATCAGGCGCAGTGTACTTCACCCCGCCCAAGAGCGTGGCGTGCGAGCTCGTGTACGGCATCAATGGGCTCACCCGCGCGCAGTTCCTCTCCCTCAACCCCTCCCTGCGCAACAACATCAATGTAACCCGCTCTTGCTCTGCCTGCCTGCCAACCAACCTGTGCTCCTCCTCACCATGCCCTCCTTCACCGCCCCAACACGCGCCATCCATGCTCGCCCTGTCCTCAGCCGCCTCTCATGGCCTCCCGCGTCTCTGTGCGTGCGTCCTTTACCCCCCATGCGGCAGCCGGCGGTGTGTGACGACATTCCTGCCAACACGCAGGTGGAGGTCACCCGCCCGTCTTCAGGCGCCATCAACTGCGCGCTCTTCTACTCCTGGGACACGGTGCGCTGGGAGGGGAGGAAGCCAGATGGGGAGAGAGAGCGCGAGAGGGAGAGGGGCAGGGAGAGGGTGAAGGAGAGGGAGAGGGAGAGGAGAGGCAATAAATGGATCGTGGCAGTTGCTGTTGGGGCAGTCTGGCTTAGGGGGTTTGGGTCCGGACACCCTTTGCCAATTGCTTGAGGCGCTTATCAGGGTAGCGTGAGCGTGTCGGCAAGTGTTGCTGTTCGAGTGAAGTCCGAGTACCAGTCAACCGTTGGAAACTAACTCCCACGCTTGTTCTTCGTCCCCTCCTCATCTTGCTCCTCCCTGCATGGTGTGGCGTGCAGCTGGACACATGTGTGGAGGTGGGAGCACTGTTTGGCATCTCCCCTGGCACGTTGGACAACCTCAACCCGGGCGTAGACTGTGTGCTCAACCACCCGCAGCTCACCCAGCAGGTCGACCCCACACACCCTGCATGCTCGCATTCCCTTGTCACTACAGTTAACCCTACTTCACCCCTCTTCACCCCATTGTACTCATTAGAATTGACTGATTTCTCATTTCACCACTTCTCTGCCTCCCTCTCTCGCACCTGCCACCCACCCCTCATCTGTCCCCTCCCCCCCCCCTCCCGCTTGTCTCCCTCGAAAACATCCTCCCCTGTCCTTGTTTCCCGTGAGCCAGGTGTGTGTGCGGCAGGGCACGGCGTCAATAACGCGGTGGTGCACGCAGTGGCACACGCTGCGAGACAAGGACTCGTGCAGGCGCATCGTCATCACGTACAGGAAGAAGCTCTCCCTGCGCCTGCTCTACGAGCTCAACCCTGGGTTGCGCTGCCGCCACCTCTTCCCTCTCACCTCGCTGCTACCCGGCGCCAGCATGAAGGCCACGGGGCAGCAGCTGTGCGTCGCAGGCACAGCGCCGCAGTCGTACACCGCTGCCACACCGGCATCGCTCACTCCCGCAAGGATAACCAGGGAGGAGCAGGAGGAGGAGCAAGCACCTTTGGTACGCACTTCCACACCCGCACGCTCGTGGCTTGCCGGCCGCCTCTACCACCGCAGCGCATCGCCGCGGCGGCAGCTGGCAACGTCGTGCAGGAAGGCGTACACGGTGGTGCGGGGGGACACGTGTGCGCGCATCATCTCCCTCTACTTCCAGAACAGCTCGCGCAAACTGGCGGACCTGAATAACGGCTATGTGTGCACCAATGACCGCCTGTATGACGGGCTCAGGCTGTGCACGCAGAGGTAGTTGGGGTGGAGCCATGCTCCTGTTGGAATAGGCGTGTTTCGCAGGGTACCGTAGGGGTAGGTAAATGTTGCTGTAACTGCTCAGGCCTAATAAGCCTCGATTTATGTTCTTGTAATATATTACACATGTTGTGATATTACACCATTTTTTCCATGGTATGTGAAACATTGTTTTCAATAGAGAATGAAGTAACCTTGCAATTTGCAATATATTCTTAATACTTCCCTTCTTATCACTAAGACACAGTGCATGGCAGGCAGTTGACAAATGAGTACATGGCTGGCATGGCAAATACAGTATCATGTGGGATCTACAAATACGGTAGCTGCCTGCACTGCACTGCACCACCTCACATGGTACATCCACAATTTGCCAGTGCACTGCACTCCACCAGCTCACCTGCGCACAGCCTCACCAGCCCGGCCCTGACTCCTCAAGCGCCGCAGCACCTCCCAGTGGCGCCTACATGATGGATCCACATGCACCGCCGCCTGCACCATCCCCAGAGGGTTCTTTCCCCCACGCACTCCTCCTCCACTCCCTTCCCTCCCCCTCTCTGTTCCTCCCTCACTCTTCTCTTTTGATTCACCTCCCCTGTCTCCTCCACCCTCCCCTGCTGCCCCACCTTTCCCTCCCGCGCCCCCACCCCTACCTGCTCCTCCCCTCCCTCCTCCCCCTCCTGCTCCCGCCCTGCCTTCCCCAATTCCAGCAGCAGATGCGCCTTTCTCAGATGTACCTTTCTCAGGCGCACCTGCCCCTGCCTCCAGCCCTGCTAGAGCTTCTCCTAGTGCAGCTAGCACACGGGCTGGGCGGCAGACAGAAGGCCATGCCGCCCACTCCTGCTGTAGGTGGGCGGCGCGCTTGCGAGGGGCGGCAGAGCGAGAGGCGGCAAGGGAGTCAGCAGAGGAGAGCAGGAGGTGAAGGTGGGGGAAGAGAGAGGAGGAGGGAGAGGAGACAGAGAGGAGGGAGCGACGTGCGGCGAGAGGGAGAGAGGAGTCGGAGGAATTGACTTGGTGGAGGGAGAGGAGGACAGAACCTGTTGGGTAGGAGGATGAGGGGGCAGGGGAGGAAGTTGATTGTTCATGAATCCAAAAGCGATGGAAGAGGGAAGGCGTTGGGAGGCAGCAACAAGCAACAGGAATAGGAAAGTGACAAATGCAGCACGCAGTCACACAGGCATGTCAACTGTACCTAGAAGCACATGAGCTACGTCGAGCAACGGTTGCACAGCTGCCCCTGACATTCCACCTGCCCCTGCTGCCTCCTTGAGCGACCCCACCACCCCCTCCAACACACTCCTAGCCTCACTCATCTCGCCCTTCTCTGCACCAATCACAGCCTGCCACATCTGCACCACTGACATTAACAGCAACTTGTTTTCGCCTTGCCCCTGCAGTCCTTGTGCTTGCAGTGCTGCCACCACTGCTTCAGCCTCTTGGTAGAAACCAGAGGAGAAGAGAGACGAGGCAGAGGCAAGTGATGGGAGCAGAGAGGCAGGGAAGCTGGGGGTGACTGGAGGCGGGGCACGAGATTCTGTTGCAGGCTGCTGCAGCGAATGGCACCGCGCCACCTGGCATTCAGCACAGGCGCGCAGCGCTGCTTTCTGATTGGCTGATGAGGGTGAATCGGGGAGGAGGAGGCACTCTGAAAGGGCGTGGGAGGCGAGGGAGAGCGAGAGGGGGGCGAGGGAGAGTGGGGGCTTTAAGCTGTCAAGGGTAGAGGTTGGAGAGTAACAGCAGCGCGCAGCACACTCAGACGCAGACAAAAGAGAGTGCACCCAGAGCTCGCGCACCAATGGCGGTGTGCCCGCTGGCGCCTTGGCAGAAGAAAGGTGGAGGAGAGAAAGAGAGGGAGATGGAGCGGAGGGAGAGGAAGGTGAGGGTGGTGGGGAAGGGAAGGTGGTGTGAATGAGGGAGAGGAGGGAGTGGGAGAAGCGGAGCAGGGAGATGGAGAGGGACGAGGGAGGGGGCAAGGGAGCACCGAAGGGAGACACGTGGGAGGAAGGCGAAAGGGAGAGGCGGAGGAGGAGGAGGCGGAGGGTGGGATCGGTGGGGCGAGTGTGAATAGCCCTGCACACGAAGGGGAGGAAGGGGGGAAAGTGGAGGAGGGGGGCGAAAGGGAGAGAGATGGGTGAACGATGGGGCAATGCAAAATGTGGAAGAGCACGTGACCCCGGCCCAAAAGCGCTCGTGCTATGCGGCATAAGTCGCTACACAAGCAATGTGACCTGCCTGCCTGCCCCCTAGTGACCTGCCCATGCCTCTCCCACGAGCACACACCCCCCCTCCCCCCCCCCCCCCCCCCCCCCTTCTCCCCCAACGTGCCTGGCCAGCAGCCGCAGCTGACTGCGTCCCGACAGGTGGCTCTCCCTCGCACCACCCTCTTCCACACTGCCCCCGCTGCTGCTGCTACCACTGCTTCCAGGCACAGCAGCAGGCGTGGCAAGCGGGGCCTGGGAGTGTAAGCAGGCCCCTGCGCCATGCGCCGTGCCTCCCGCACACGCACTGCACGCCAGCCGTGTGCTCGCCTGCACGCGCACCACACTCTCCTCCACTGTCCCCGCCGCACTGCCTCCGGTGGTGCGGTCAGGGGGGGCGGGGGTGGTGAGGAGAGAGGGGTGCGGAGGAGGGGGGTGCGAGGAGAGGGCTTGGGGCGCCAGGCCGATGATGCGCGCAGCTCGAGCCGGGTGCGAGGGAGAGAGCAGGTCTGCCAGACAGGCCCTGGTGTGGGGGGGGGGGGGGTTGAGAGGAGGAGAAGGGGGGAGGGGGGGGGGGGGGGGGGGGAGAGATGCTGAATTCCACAGTATGTTGTGTTGAGGTAGTGTTGGGAGAGAGGGGGAGAGGATGGAGAGAGAGAGAGCGGAGGTAAGGAGAGAGATGGATGGGAGAAAGGGGGAGGATGGGGAAAAGGGGGGAAGGGAAAAGGGAAACGGAGCAAGGTTGATGGGGTTTAGACTGTGAGTGTGAAGCAGGCAGCAGAGAGGGTGGAGGGGCGTGACGTACCTGAGCAGGAGGCTATCGGGGAAGTGATGCAGCGAGCGGATGAGATACTTGAGGGCACGTGGCAGTTGACCCTGCCAGGCCCACACGGGTGGACAAAACAGATGGGGAGCCGATACAACAGATGGGGAGCCGATACAACAGATGGGGAGCCGATACAACAGATGGGGAGCCGATACAACAGATGGGGAGCCGATACAACAGATGGGGAGCCGATACAACAGATGGGGAGCCGATACAACAGATGGGGAGCCGATACAACAGATGGGGAGCCGATACAACAGATGGGGAGCCGATACAACAGATGGGGAGCCGATACAACAGATGGGGAGCCGATACAACAAACGAGGTGGTGAGGTGAGGTCGGTTGGAGGCGGGAAATGGGGCAGAAGTTATTTACATACTGGAGAGCCTAAGAAGGAGAGAGATGGTGAGGGAAAAAGCATGCCACGAGTGCATGGATTGCAAGTGCTCCCAGCAGCACAGCAAGGTAGAACTGGCAGCACTGGCAGACAGCACCTTGGCAGCGAGTGAGACCCCGAGCAAGGCATGTGCTCTGGGCGCCATGAGAGGGTCGCTGAAGACAGGCCGGTACTGCTGCACCGCACGCCCTATCTCCCCCTCGTCCAACGACGCTGCTGCTGCTGCCAGCGCCGTCAGCGACACGTCAACACGCGTCAGCGCCAGGTCACGCGCGAGAGAGGGCGAGAGGAAGAGAGAGGGGGCGAGTGATGCAGGCGGTGCTGGGGAGGATGGGAGAGCGGGGGGGGAGGCAAGGAGAGCAGCGTGGAGCTTCACTGCTGCCGCTGAGAGGAGGGAGTGAGAGGAGGACGAGGAGGAGGAGGATGGAGATGGGGATGGGGACGGTGCAAGGTGTGTGGCTTGGGTGGTGGCGAGGGCGACAACAGCAAGGGCGTCGTCGTGGAGCGAGCAGTGGTGCAGCGTGAGGGCGAGCGCGAGCAGTGGGCGCACCGGCCACTTGGAACGGTCTGGAGAGACGGTGGACAGGGAAAGAAGGAACGAGGGAAAGGGTGTTGAGCTGACCAGGGAGGCTTGGTAAGGTAAGGAGACGCAGGAAAAGGATGGAGAGGAGGCAGGCAGCCGGGTAATGAGGAGAAGAATGTAGAATGGAGAATGGAGAATGGTGAAGAGGAGTGTGGGTTGGAGGCAGCTTGGAACGAGGCTGGGTTCACACCTCGAAGGGAGTGAGCAGAGTTAAACTCCACTAGTGCCTCGCTGAACCGCCGCGCCTGTCATACCATGGCATAGCAACCCTTAAGACATGCATGAGGGGTAACGTGGAGATGGTTGCATGATGAACAACATGCCTGTCACAGCAGCACGCCACACTGCCGGAACCCTTTCACCCACTCATCCACCATACGCATGCGCACGTGGGGGCATGCAACCATACTTTTCCCAGCAGCAGGGCACATACACAGAGCAGGCACTAGGGGACACGAGGCACACTCTGGCCTTGAGGATCAAGGTGACTGCACAGGGATCAGCAGTCGCCTCCGCTGCAGGAAGACACATCGTAGCACACACATACCGCTGTGAGGGCCATGCCCACTTGCACATACGCCAGCCACACTCGCTCTGCAGGTCCTTCCTGCTGCAGCAGTAGCTGCTTGGCGGATTGGAAGGCGTGCAGGGTGACCGAGGGCAGGCCGCGCGCACAGGCAGAGAGGCCGAGGAGGAAGAGCGCCTCGGGAGATGCGGGGCTGCTGCTCGCCAGGTGGGCCAGCGCACAGAAGACCTAGTGGCACAGGTTGACACGAGTGGAAAGGGTGGCGTGTGGGTGTGGAAGGTAGTAGGGAGGCTGTGCGAGTGTGCAGTCAATGGTGGCATGTCTGGTGGCTCGCTACACCGCACAGGTGCACTCCCACACAAGCCATCCCATCCCTCCCCAGACCAGTTCATCCCATTCCATCCCATTTCATCCCAGACCATCCCATCCCTGTTCATCCCATTCCACCGCAAAGCACCTCTGCCTGGCCCAGCCTGCCGCAGCGAGCTGACAGCTGTCCGAGCACATGTTGGGCGCATGGCGGCTGGACACAGAGAGTGGGGAGAGACAGCGAGGGGGGAGCGAGAGAGGGAGGGACAGAAGAGGGAGAATGGAAATGGAGAAAGGGGGAGAAGATGGATACTTGGAAATTAATCAACAGCCAGGACATTGTTGACAATTCTAAACTAGAAATTCCTGGAAAGAGGGGGATGAAAGACAGACAGGAAGTGTGTGGGTGGGGGGGCAATGGACAACACAAGAGGACACAGAAGCGCCTCCTGCCAACCCTGCATGCAGCCACCCTCTCAACTCAGGAGTCAGCATCCCCACCTCTCAGTGCTGACCTCTTCTCTGGCCCTTCCTTACCCCTTCCCCCTCTTCCTTCCACACCCGTGCAAGCACTGACCGGGTTGGAGCATGCAGTGGCAGCAAAGAGCGCATCGGCCATGGCCGCATGCAGCGATGGCCTGGCATGTGGGTGGGGGGTTGGCAGCAGGAGGTGGATGACCCATGATCATAGGCAGGCTGAAGGGAGGAACGAGGGGTTGGTTAAGGGGAAGGAAACGGACGAGATTGCAGAGCAGAGGGGCTAGATGGAGTGATGGTGGAGAGGAGAGGCAGGACATGTACAAGGGCAGAAAAACAGGACGCGAGGGTGCGCTTTACCTGCTTTCACCATCATCATCACCAGCAGAATCAGCAGCAGCATCACCATCGTTGCGAGTGCTGCTAAGACCAGCAGTAGCAGCAGCATCGGGGGGATTGGTGTGTGGCGCATTAGCTGCCGGTGCAGCAGCGAGAGCGCCCAGCTGGCAGGCTGCAGAGGCAACCCAGGGGGCGGCAATGAACGGGTCTGCCACACGCGCACGGGCGAACGCCTGTGTGGCAAGCTTTGACTGCTTCTGGTGAAGGTACACCTGAAGAGAAAGCAAGAGGAGCGATGGGACGGGGGAAGAAAGACAGAAAGTGTGAGGTACACGGGCACGTGTCTGACAGACGAGTATACAGCTCGTGTTGCTGTGTTTGTGATAACAATGTGGTATCAACAACACACGGTGAGTGGTATCAACAACACACGGTGAGTGGTATCAACAACACACGGTGAGTGGTATCAACAACACACGGTGAGTGGTATCAACAACACACGGTGAGTGGTATCAACAACACACGGTGAGTGGTATCAACAACACACGGTGAGTGGTATCAACAACACTCTGCCAGGCATGCATGCAGGAAGGCAGGCGGCAGCGGCGGCGTCAGCAGCAGCAGCACGCACCTCCCCCAGCAGCACCCAGGCGAGGGCATGCAGCGGGTCAAGCATGAGGGCATGCACGAGTGCATGCTGCTGCACCTCTGGCCACTGCCACCCCACCACGGCTGCCAGCACCACCCATGCATGCGCCCCCGCCACGCTCTGCTGCCCCTGCAGTGCTGGCAGCAGCAGGCGAGGGGGCAGCGCACTGGGGTGGGGGGGTCAAAAGTGCGGGAAGGGGAGGAGGGGGAGTTGAGGGAGGTTTTGGATGGAGGGACAGAGATGTGGAGAGAAACGCTGAGTGCGTGGAGCTGGCATGGGTTGCATGGGTAGCTCAAGTGCCACTGGCATCAGTCAAAGCTAGCACATGACGCCACACTTGTGTTGCTTGATAAAGGCACGTAAAGGCGTGCTTAATTCATTCCATTCAAGACTGACAGATGAACGCTGACGCTCACAGCAACACAACACGTCCCATGCCACACACGACTATGCCATTGCCATACCGTAGCTCATCCACACATGCAGCGTCTAGAACCTCTGCCTTGGCCTGCCCATCACCACCCGCATTCCCACACTCCACCTCCTTCTCCTCTCCCCCGCCACCTGCTTCCACCAGCTCCGCCCATGCCCTCCCCTTGGCCGCCGCTGCCAGTGCCAAATCCGCCCACAGCCTTCCCCCAACCTGCCCCCCTGCGCCCTTCACTTCCCCCCCGCCCATCCCCCCTGCTTCAGGTACCCCCAAGCTGAGGAAAGAGGAGAGGTGGGGGGAGTCAGGGGGAGGGGGCGCGGAGGGCGAGGGGGAGAGGTGCAGCGCGTGCGCGTAGGAACGCAGGGCGGAGGACGCCAGGCGGAAGCGGTGGCGGCGCCATGTGAGGAGGGAGAAGGGGGCAGGGGATGCAGGCGCGGTGGTGGAGGAGGCATGGGCAGGGGAAGGTGCGGCGAGAAGCACGGCTGAGTGACGGAGCTGATTGGGGTGGGGGTGGGGGTGGGGGTGGGGGTGGGGAGAGAACAGGGTGGAGGGGGAGTGAGGAGCAGAGGAGAGTACTTGTTCAGGTGAAGCGAATAATCAAGCAGACATGACCCTCGCATGAACCACTGAGAAGGTGCTTCGTAACGCATCAGTTACCTGTACCCTCCTCCAGCAACTCTCGCCCCCCTCCCCACGGCTCAAGTGCAGTCCCTGAGAGTGCTGCTGACCTGCTCCTCATGGTATCAGAGACACACCTCGATGTCACCAAGAAGCTTCCAGGTTGTTGCGGATGTGGGATGGTGGGATATGGACGCACGGGCACTGGCAGCTGCAGCCTGGGAGCAGGGATGGGATGCATGCAGTGTGGGCAAGACGAGAGGCAAGGGGGGATGGTGTCAATGGTCATGGGCATGGGCATGGGTATGGGCACAGAAAATGGGCAGTATGGGAATATCGTTGAACCCAGTGGGCCTCTGTTGGCAGGCCAGGCAGCGCAGGCTGTATGGCCGGCAAGACATGCGCCTATGCTGACATGAGGCATGTGGGAGGCGCATGGGAGGCACATGGGAGGCACATGGGAGGCACATGGGAGGCACATGGGAGGCACATGGGAGGCACGTGGGAGGCACGTGGGAGGCACGTGGGAGGCACGTGGGAGGCACGTGGGAGGAATGTGGGAGGCATGTGGGAGGCACATGGAAGGAATGTGGGAGGCACATGCAGCATGTGAAGAGAGGCTGCACATGTGGATGGCAAGGAGACATTCAAGCAGGTAGGCACGCGGCATAGGTGCAAATCAGGGGAGGCGGGGTCACCAGCAGCAGGTCGTTGGCCCATGCAGCAGCGCCAAAGGAGGCCACGTGGCATGCGAGGCCGTAGCGCGCTGCTGCCAGCCCCCACTGCACCGTGGCACTGCCTGCCCGCTGCGCCTCCGCGTACGAGAACAACTCCAATGCCTGATGGGGCGTGGCGTGCCGTGGCACGGGAGATAAGTGGCATGTGGCGGAGGGGGAGAAGGGGGGGAAAGGGGGTTGGTGGTGTGGAGATGGGTGGTGGTGGTGAAGGGTGGAAGGGGAATGGCAGGGAGTGCGCGATGAAAGAGCATGAAGAGGAAGGGTGGGCATGCAGGGGATGGACTTGGGGCGAGGCGACATGTCAAGCAGCATGAGGGAGAACCCCACAGAGATACCGGTGGGTGCCACGAGAGGAAACGAAGACACATAGTTACATTATCACATGGTTACATGGTTACATGATTCCATGGTTACATAAATACACAATCACAAATGGTCTCATGGCTACATGGATACATGGCTACATGGCTACAGGAAGAGGAGGGAAAAGAGAGTCGAAGTGAGAGATAGAGAGGGTTTGGGGCAGGCGGAAGGGAGGCTGGAGTGTAAGGAGAGCGAGACACGGTAGTGGAGTGGGCGCAGGCAGGGAGTGGGCAATGTAGTGGGCGAGTGGTGGAGGGCGTACCTGGGAGTAGTTGCTGCGCTCCAGCTCAATGTGCCCACTCTGCTCCAGTGCAAACACTGCACATGCCACGTCACTGCTGCTCACACCGCCACGCGACTCAGCAGGGGGAGAGGCAGTGGCGAGTGCAACAGAGGCAGGGACGAGGGCCTCCAGGGCGCTTGCCACGTGCGGCAATCCCAAGGTGATCACCCGGCCATAGGCCTGCAGGGAGGAACGCGGGTGGCGAGGGGTGTGGGGTGGTGGAGAGCGTTCGGAGGGGGAGATGGGGATGTTGGAGGCAACAGAGTGGCATTGAGTTGAAGGTAAAAGGGGATGACTGACACAGTATGTGGAACGGAGGTTGTTGATGACGTGGGGGGAGGGAGAGAGGCGAGGAATGAAAGACACAAGACACGTGGGGCAAACAGAGGGATTATAGACACGTGCAGGGAGGTGAATGGACACGTGTTAGGGAGGGCACCTTGAGAGCAGCGGAGTGTCGACCGAGCCGCTGGTAGCACAGGGCAAGGGCCTGACAGGACGAGGGGGGCGTGTGCAGGAGAAGGAAGTGTACGGGAGAGTGGAGTGGCATGAGCAGTGTGTGGCGGTGGTGGTTAAGTGCAGACAGGCAACAGACAGTGAGCATGGTGCATGGTGCCATCAACAAGGCACTACTGCTGCGGTGCCGCATGCATGAGTGAGTGTGCAATACAGGGCACGGAGTGTGCGTGTGGATATGCAAGTGCGTGTGCGTGTGCGTGTGTGTGTGTGTGTGTATACCCGCCAGCACGAGGCATCTCGCACGAAGCCCTTGATGGCGGACTGCAGGCACGGCACAGCAGACTGCCACGCGGCCTCCTCCGCATGCAGCAGCCCCAGCAGCCGCCACGCCCAGAAAGCCCGCGTGCTGCCCTCTACTGCCCCGCGGCACAGCGCCACCTGCAGCGACCGCTGCCGCACCGCCCCCCGTCCCCCCGCCAGCAGGTGGAAGGCCGCCTCCTGGGGGGAGAGAGAGGCAGGGAAGGGAAAGGGGGAGACAGAGGGGCAGACAGGGGGAGAGGAAGAAGATGGATGCGAGGAGGAGGCGATTCGGAGAAGAGAAAAGGCCAGGAGAGGGTTTAAGTGCGAGTGCATGCGTGTAATGCGAGTGTGGCTAGGTGTGTGCACTGGGGCAGCGCATCTCACCCCAGCGTCTTGGTCTTCGGGATTCACGCTCACAGCCTTCTGAAAGCACTTCACCGCTCGCCCCACGTCCCGCACCACCTCCTCCCCAACCCCCCCCTTCCGCGCCCTTTTCCGCTCCCCCGCCGCCCACCACGCCTCCGCGTGTCGCCCGTCCCCGTGTTGCGTTCCGCACGCGCCTGCGCGCGGGATAATCCCCTGGAAGCCCGCAAAGAAATAGCCCAGGCAGCGGAAGGCGTCCGCGCTGCCAGGGCTCAGCTTGCCCGCCTGAAGCCACTCTGTGTACGCTGCCGCGCGCCCTGTCGCCCGTGCTTCATTTCCCCCCGGCTCTCCGCCTCCGCCTGCCGACGTGGCGGTTACCGCTGCCCTTTCCTCCGCGGAATTCCACAAGGTCTCGCCCTGATCGCGGGGAACGCGGACACGATGCGGAGGAGAATAAGGTATGCGTGGACGGGTGCGACACGGACGTCACGTCAAACTTCAGAACGAGCAGCACAAATCGACGTGAGGAGATAGAGTAAGCAGCTTGGAATGTTAGGAATGGGTCATTACCAGCAGAAGATGGTACTCGCTCTCGTCGGGCCGCGCGGATACGGCCGTGCGAAGAAGATCGGCGGCTTCGGACCACCCGCGGCGAGCCAGCGCGAGGCGCGCGAGGCCTGCGAGAGCCGCATCGTCCGCAGGGTTGGCCTGCAGGGCTGCACGAAGCGACGCCTCGTCTGGCGTCGCGCCCTCCATTTAGATCGTGTTTCCGAGAAACACGCTGACAGAGACGCCAAGAAGGTTCTATACGGCGATGCTCATGCTCTTGTACACCAAGGCCCAGGCCCGCATGTGACGCAAGTACACTAACGCGGTATTTAGTCCCCAACTAGGTAGGCATGGCAAGCACACTAGCAGATTTTAGTGTTTCCACCAGGCCCCCAGATAAAAGCTGATTTCGGAGGAAATGACAAATCGCCCTAGTTTCTAGTTTCCAATTACAATGGGCGGTGGTTTTGACAGCTCATCACTCCCAATCCCCACGGGCAGTATAATTTGCCTTTCCCAATTCCCGTGACCAGCCGACGTCTACAACTTCTTGTATGCCCACTGCGGTTAACTTCTTTTCAACACGGTGAAGAGCGGTAAACGTAGAGAACCGCTTTTCACCGTGTTGGAACGTCCTGAACCACGATACAAGAGCTGTTAACACATGAGAAAATGTTTAACCTAAAGTCGCCCTGAAAGGGCGAGTAAGAAGTTTTACCTGATTTCAGTCTGTTGCCAAGTGGCAAAAATAAAGGGTTTTTATATGGCCATCATAAAACTTTTCGGAGTTATCACGACCAGTCACGGCGCTATTACAAACGGTCACAAAACCCGCCAAATCTATCACGAACCATCACACGGGTATCACCCGCCGTCACTCAAAGGCACTAAAATCTATCACGGGTAGTCACACTCGAAAGTTTGATCTCACAGATGAACCCCGTCACCATTTCGTTGACCCGCGCTGAAACAATGTACAGATTTAGGGACTATATTTCGGGTTGGGAGTTTTTTTTTTTTTTTTTTTTTCGTTCAGCAAATAATGTACCGTAGTGTAAGGAAAATCACTTTTCCTTACTTCGCATCCCTGCTCAACGCGTACATCACTATAGCACCACAGTCAGCACCGTTACCACTCGCGACCCTCGCATCAACAATCAGCCCGCCATTTTCGCACATCGCACCCCAACCTCACGGCTCGGCTGGTAACCCGCGCTCCGGGCCTCCGCTTCGACACTTTCCCAAACCTCAGTCCCGGGCCCGTCACGCGACAACCACAGTCCATTACCGTTACCACTGTAGTTTCGCTATATATTCTTCGCTCATGCCTTCGCTCATTGGATTCTTGCTTCGATAGTGCAATTCTCGTTCATTTACTCAATTGCACTCGTAACACTTGGTATTCAGATCCTACGATCTCCTCTCGGACCGCACCCACATTTTCGCTTCCCCGCTATCTCAATTTTTTGGGGGGGGGTAGACGTCTCTCAGCGATACAGCACCGTCGCTCGTAGTGCTCTCTCGTAAGCACGCACGGCCACGACCGAGGCTCTCGCTGAGCTCGCCCGACACCCCCGCCATGGCCGATTTCACGCTCGCCACATTGACGCAAGAGCAACTTGATCGTCTCGTGCGCCAACTTGAAGACTCGGCGCTCGAAATCGCGACGCTCACGGCGGAACGTGACTCCGCCCGTCAACAATCCACGGTGAACATTCCAGCGACATCACACGCACTAACAAATGCATCTGCACAATCGGACGAGCCGATCATCATTTCGTCCGGCACACCAACGCAACACGAGAGCATGGGACAACGCTCAGGCGCAGCCAGTGATGGCACCGCCCAGCCGATGCCTGGCATGGGAGGAAGCAGGGCCGTACCAAGCCCGCGGGAGCCCCGTGAAGCCCGTCGGCATGTGGAATTCGCGGCGACAAGTGGCGAACAGGCCATTATGGCACCAATGCCGCTAAAGCCACAACGCCCGCCCTGCTTCGACCCAAGCCAACGTGGAGGTCCGACGGTTCAATCGTGGGTCTTCACGATGAACGTCTTCTTCGACGCGAACTACGTCGAGTCGGACGCCGCGAAGATTCGGCATGCAGTTTCTGTCAGAACATTATAGCTTACTTATTTGTGTAGGCTATAGTGGGGTATCCCATAGGGGGTACAACCCAATTAGGGTTTCCTATTTGTACTCACTTCGTTCAGAGTCATTTCATTCTCGTTCTATTCTTCTCATGGTATCGATGTCAGAGTATTATAGCTGATGCATGTTTGTAGGCTGTAGTGGGGTAGCACATATGGGGTACAGCTCTCTAGGGTTGTATTTGTACCCAACTCTGACTTAGTCATTTCATTCCTGTTTTCCTTGCTTCACATGGTATAGAGCGGGTCCTGCCTTAGGACCGTTTTTTTAGGGCCCACCGAAGCGCGCCCCGAGGCGCGCCTTTTTTTTTAGCGACCCCTCGGGTCGCCTTTTCCCTCGCGGCCCCGCTGTCCCTCAGACACGGCCCCGCCACCTCTCCTGATCGCGGCCCCGCCGCCTGCTTGACGCGGCCCCGCCGCCTCCCCTGACGTGGCCCCGCCGCCTCCCCTGACGCGGCCCCGCCGCCTCCCCTGACGCGGCCCCGCCGCCTCCCCTGACGCGGCCCCGCCGCCTCCCCTGACGCGGCCCCGCCTCTACTGCCGCGGCCCCGCCGCCGCCTCTAACGCGGCCCTGCCGGCCCGCCGCTACACCCTACGGCCCGCCGCTGCACCCTACGGCCCGCCGCCTCACCTGACGGCCCCGCCGCTGCTCCTGCCGGCCCGCCGCTGCTCCTGCCGGCCCGCCGCTGCACCTGCCGGCCCGCCGCTGCACCCAGCGGCCCGCCGCTTCACCTGACGGCCCCGCCGCTGCACCTGCCGGCCCGCCGCTGCACCCTACGGCCCGCCGCTGCACCCTACGGCCCGCCGCCTCACCTGGTCGGCCCGCCACTGCACCCTACGGCCCCGCCGCTGCACCTGCCGGCCCGCCGCTGCACCTGCCGGCCCGCCGCTGCACCTGCCGGCCCGCCACTGCATCGGTCGACCCGCCGCTGCACCTGACGGCCCCGCCCCTGCATCTCCCGGCCGAGCCGCCCCAGCAGCCGAACCGCCCGGGAGCCGAGCCGCCCAACGCCGAGCCGCCCGGGACCCGAGCCGCCCTGCGCCCGAGCCGCCCAGCCGCCGAGCCGCCCGGGAGCCGAGCCGCCCTGCACCCGAGCCGCCCAGCCGCCGAGCCGCCCGGGAGCCGAGCCGCCCTGCGCCCGAGCCGCCCAGCCACCGAGCCGCCCGGGAGCCGAGCCGCTGTGCACCCGAGCCCCCCGGTCGCTGAGCCGCCTTTCTGCAGAGCTGCACGACCTGCCCTGCCTGGTGAGCACAGTCCCACTGACACTGCGAGCTCTTTCCCTACTGCTTGCAGTGCGTCGCTGTCGTCGCCATGGCTACCCCTAGTGTCCTAGCTTTCGACGCTGAGGGTCGCGCCATTGATTTTGAGGTCTGGTTAGACGACCTGCAGCTGTTCTTACAGTGCGACAGGGCTGACGACCTTTCTCTCTTTGACCTCACCTCTGGCGCCTCTCCTGCTCCTGCTGCTGATGCTGATCCCTCTGTCCGCTCTCAGTGGGCCACCCGCGATGCTGCTGCACGTCTTGCTGTGCGTCGCCACCTCCCTACCTCTGAGCGTGCGCACTTTAGCCAGTACAAGAGTGCTCAGACCTTGTACGACGCTGTAGTTGCGCGCTACTCCTCCCCTGCCACTGCTGCACTGAGCCGTCTCATGCTTCCCTACCTCTTTCCTGACCTCTCTGCCTTTCCCACTGTTGCTGACCTCATTACGCACCTCCGCACTAGTGACACTCGCTACCGCGCCGCCCTTCCTGCTGAGTTCTGCGCTAAGAACCCCCCCCCCATGTACATCGCTCTCTACTACGTAGTCGCGCGCCTCCCTGACTCCCTTCGCGTCGTCAGGGACCACTTTCTCGCTGTCTGTCCCACCACCCTCACCGTCGACCTCCTCGAGAAGGCCCTCCTCGCAGCGGAGAAGAGCATAGTCGCTGTAGGTGCTTCTCGTGGTGACCCTCGCACCCCCATCTTTGAGGGGTGCTCTCCTTCCCCCATGCTGCCCTCTGTTGCCTCTGCTGCTGCTGCCGACCTGCTTGGTCTTGAGTCGGTCGGCGCGGCGTCTACCCCTAGTGGGAGACGTCGCTCTAGCAAGGGCAAGGGGGGCAAGGGCGCGGGTGGAGCTGGAGGGGGCGGTGGCGGTGGCGGCGGTGGCGGCGGAGGGAGTGGGGGTGGTGGCGGGACTAGTGGCGGGGGTGGTGGTGGTGGTGGTGGCAGCAGCGGCGGAGACGGTGGTGGTGGTGCCAGCGGTGGTGGTGGAGGCAGCGGCGGAGGTGGAGGCGGCGGAGGTGGAGGCGGTGGAGGCGGCAGCGGAGGAGGCGGTGGTGGTGGAGGAGGTGGAGCTGGTCGGGGTGGTACCCAGCAGCGTAGCGGCGGTGGTGGTGGCCAGCGCTCGCAGCGGCAGCAGCAGCAGCGCTCGCGGGACATCCCTCCGCCTCAGCAGCTTCGTGAGTGGTACGCTGGGCGTTAGAGGGGTGGGGGTACTGGTCCCTGCACCTACGTTCTTCGTTCCGGCGACCGCGCGGGTGAGCAGTGTGGGGGTGCCCACGCCACCCAGCGCTGCTTTGGCCGCCTGACGGACGCTTGGCGTCGGCAGTTCCCTGGGGCTAGTGAGATCCCTCGCTGGGATGAGCTTCTTAGGGCTGGTGTAGTGATCTTTGATCTTGATTTTGATGCTATCCTTGCTGCTATGTATGCTGTGGATTATAGTGAGGAGAATGAGGGTTACCGGTGTTTCCAGCCCGACCCGGGCATTGGTACTGCTGCGCTAGGTGCTTGTGAGGCTGCTGCTCTAGGTGCCAGTGCGTCTGTGCTCTCAGGTACTGGTGAGACTGCGCTCTCAGGTACTGCGTCGTCCTCGTCCTCCCTCACTTTCACACTTGACTCCGGGGCTTCTCGCTCCTTCTTTCGGGACCGCACTACCCTTAAGCCGCTCGGCCGGCCGGTTGCGGTCTCCCTTGCTGACCCCTCTGGGGGTCCTGTCCTGTCTCACTTCTCCACTGTCCTCCCGTGTCCGGCTGCCCCTTCGGGCACCCTGTCTGGTCTGTACCTTCCCTCGTTCTCTA